CTTATAGATCCCAAAGATAGAAAACATGAGATTATTTTGAATACTGTTTTGCTAGAGTGTGTTTTTTTGTTTGTTTTTTTTTTAATAAGTGGGGTTTTTTAAGCTTCATACAACAGCAATCATCTACCAATGGAAAACTCACCTAGAACCTTACACAGATGACGAGAAATAAACAGAGTGATGAGAAAGAGAGAAATACTTGTTCTCCAGCCAGGTACTGGTCTTTTCTTTTTCTAATGGGCTCTTGCTCCTAATCCACCTGGAGTAAATCAAGGGGCATGTGGTGTATACTCCAGTTGGGTCAGCTGTGGTAAACACATACAGCTGCACTGATCTGTTACACAGGTGCCCGGTTTTAGATGCTCTGGCTGGCCAAGTCGGAGCTCTTGGCAAGTGCTTGTAGTTCTGCAGATTGGAACACACAATGAGAAAGTAGGCAGCTGGCACCAGCACCTCCCATAGCAGCCCCCAAGCCTGAGCCAAACCTGCCCATCTCATTCTTCACCCCCTATTCTGAATCACTGTCAAATACCTACACCTATTTTGCAATTCACTGGGAGGTTTTTTTGGCCAGGGTTATTGGAGCAGAGGCACTGTTATATAATAAGTCCTTCAGCTGCTGATCATTCTGGGGCAAAAGTGCTTGTGTTGGGTTTTCCCTGGTCTTATTTTTTGTTGTCCCCTTTTTCATCTTTCTTTTTGGTTTTTGCCTTTTTACCTTTTTTTTTTTTTTTTTTTAGTTTTCTTTGGCTTTTTGTCCCCCTTTTTGCTCATTTTTGTTTGTTTTGTTTTCTCCTTCTCTCTCTCTCTCTTTTTGTTGTTGTTACTATTTATGTTTTTTTCCTTTCCTGGAGCAGAAGGAAGGGCATGAGCCCTCAGTGGACAGGCTGCACTTGGCAGTGGCAGGGCAGGCTGCTCTTTACTAGCTGGCCATGCTGCAGGTGTGAGGTAGGGTGGCATTTATTATGTCTCTCTAAGAAGCTGCTGCTGATGGTGCAGAACTGGTGCTGAACCAGTAGAAATGCTTGAACCTTAACCGAGCCTAAGAAGACAATGTTATCATGTTGAAAGTGACTATTATATATCTCTCCACTGTTAATGTTACCTTCAGATTAATCTTTGTGATATCTGCATAAGACAATAAGCCAAATCACTTGCTGCTGATGATGGGAGGCCTACAGAAGTCATATTAAGCTTGTACCTCATGAAATGAAAATACATTTTCTCTGAGGTTCCATCAGTGTTTCATAATCTAAAATAAATTCCTCTCCATCATTCTATTCAAAAGAATAATAAAGTCTTACATTCCCTATGTTGCAAAGATACCTTTCCAACTACAAGCTGCTAGAGATTTCCCTCTGCTCCTTGCTCTTAACAGACATATCTGAGTTGTCTGTTCATAAAGAGCTAAATTTGGTGCATATATCTGTGTTAGAGCAGTAATCTCTGCTCTATAAATAGCCTGAGCCTCTAGTGAGCAAAGAGGGCCAAAAATCCAGGCTTCCACTTGAACAGAAATTTAGCTTTATCAATATGATAAACCTAGAGTGATGGCCAGGGCTCAAGAGAGCAAGGACTCAGTGCCCATCCTGAAAATTCAAGCGGTGAATGTAAAATCTGCAACTGGGAAAAAGACTGGAAACCTCTGGAGGAGTCTTAGTTCACCAGAGACAACCTTCAGAGTCTGTTCAAAGCTAGAAATCATCCTTGGTTGGTCCAGCTCTGCAGAACAGCCCTGGACCAAGTACCCTGAACATTTCAACTCCTTCAGTTTTTGATACTCCAGCAGGAGCCCAGATGGGATTTCATTCAAATGATGCTTAACTTCACTGAAAAGTTATCTAACCCAAAGTCCTTTAGAAGAAACATTAAAAATGCAAAAAACTGGTGGTTTTAATTAAACAGTTTTGCTGGGAAATTTCTGACTCCAGTCCTCTTATGACTATCTCTAAAATATGTGTGAAATGTCTGTAATTTAATCAGCATGCTGTTAGCTTATAAACCTAATGACAACTGGTTTAATGCCAACATTTTTTGGCACTGCAGTTCATATTCTTGTAATTTTTCAGCAACTCTGGGACTAAATTCAGAATTCTTGGTTTGGGTATCAAGAAATGTAAGAAAGACTCAACACATTTTCTCTGGTTTCATAGAGAAACCTTGGTTTCTTGCCTCTTTTGAGCCAAAAGAAAATAGTAATTAACAGCTTTATATCTTCATTGAGGTCTGGGTGAGATATCCCTCTAATATATAATCATCATTTGAAGCAATGACACAGTATCCTCAAACAATTTCCAGCATGAATTTGTTTGACCTTTAGTTTGAAACTACCCACTATGTGGACTGGTCTTTTTTTACCCTTCATTACCTTAGCCCCTTATTTCCAAGTACTTCCTAGTTTTGCATAAATGTGGGACAGGAGTATATGAATGCATGATGTATTGATTTCATATGAATGATAAATGGAGATATTATTTCCCAGCCAGTGAAAAAATACAAAGTTAGCGATTTATTCACACCAAGAAAATCACTAAAACCACACTTCAAAAAGTGGTTTAACCTTTATTCTCTTCTGTTTTTCTTTCCTCATCCAAACATCCTTATTCCTTCTTAGGAACATCATATGTGGAGAGAATATTAGTCTTCAAATAGACCTTATCCAGCCTGGCTCTCAACACAAACAAAGGACACCTTCCTAACCAAATATTTTATGAACTGCTTTGCCATCTGCCCTTCACAAAGGTTATTTGTGCATTTTAATTACCTCATTTTTTTTTCCTCCCCATTGATTGAGCTGATTAGACAGGTAGATAGTGAAATATAGCTAAGAGGAGGACCTCAACAGAGACAAATGCTGCTTTTAGCTGTGCTTAGATGCTGCTGGTGCTGTCAAGGCTCAGTGTGGCAAGTCAGCACCCAACACACCTGTGAAGCACACCACAGGAATAACATGGGGAATCACACAACTGGCTCAGTGAAGGACACAGAATTCATCCTGCTGTGGGGTGTTTTCAGTAGCTCATCACTGGCACGAGGAGTATCTGATGAATACCCAACACACTGTAGACTGACACAGCTCTCCATGCCACTATTGACAGCAGTAACTATGCTAATGTATGTAATTAGCTAATTACCCGTGGTATAAACATGATGTGCTGCATTTTAATCTCAGATCATCTCAAGCTTTAATCAGCTTGCTCAAAAAAATGACCAGTTTTTTTTAATTGCATAGGTTTAATTGTAGCCTTTGGAAATGCTGTGCTAAAGGGTGGTTTTAGACAGGGAAGAATTGTGTTCTCTTAGAAATAACCAAAAGGGTGGTAAGACATCATGTGTTGCAGAATTTAGCCTTTCTGCAAAAGTAAATCTTTTCAGTGCAGGGATTCTGTGTGCTCAAACTGATTGCCAGGAAGAGAACACACTCTGTTCATTATCTGGATCTCTTCAGTTGACTCAATTCGAGAAGGAATTTTGCAAGAGCTGGCAATCACTACAACAGAAAATAGAGGCACTGAAATGCTCTCACATTTACAGAAAGCTTCAGGATAATTTATTTATGAGATGGGTTGTTGCTCTTACATACTCCTTATGTTTACCATGTTTTTGGCACTTATTCTTCCCAGTTGGGCCAGTGAAAAGCAGCCAATTAAGATGTTATTCAGGCATACAACTTCCAACCCCAGCCAGAAGCAAGGAAGTTTTTTTTGAGAAGCTTATAATACATTCAACTCAAGTAGGTAGAAGGGGACCCAGGGAATGCCTATTTGCATGGCAACTGGAGCTCACTTGGCCATATCAAAGAGCTGGGTCCTTCCCACCAAGATCACAATGTCCCTCTGCAGTGATATTGGAACAGGTTGCCCAGAGAAGTTGTGGATACCCCCTCCCTGGAGGTCTTCAAAGCCAGGTTCAGTGGGGCCTGTGGGAGGTGTCCCTGCTCATGGCAGGGGAGTTGGAACTGCTCGATCATTAAGGTCCCTTCCAACCCAAACCTCTCTGTTATTCTATGATCTGTTTCCCAGGCTTTCCCAATGGGAAGAAGGGCTTTGTGGCCAGGTCCTGCTCTCCTGTTGAGACCTGGCTGTCCAACCAGGGCTTTCACAGCTGCTTTCTGACCAACCTGCTGCCACACAGATCAATGTTTTTCTGCAGGTATAAAAACTTGTCCATCATGTTCCAGTCAATGTGGGGCTGTCCCTCAACTGCAAGGCAACTTGGTGGACAAAATATAATTAGTGCTTACCTCCATAGCAGAGACTTCCACCAGCTGAAGACAGTGGGTGCCTGAGCAGGGAAAGCTGAGAGTTCATTACTTTGTGAATCTGTAGGTCTTTGTTCCTTGAAAAATCATAATAGAAGCATAAGTTTTTCTGGCTTGTTTCACCAAGGCACTAGCACAGAGAGTGCTGATGATTTAGGCCTTCAGTAGATAGTTTGAATACTGTCCTACTGCAGCTTTGTCCTCCAGATTTAGCCATAAAGAAGCAATGATTCAGGCTTTAATGGGTCTTAAAACTTTTTGGTCTAACAAGCAAATATCATTTGCCGGGTCCAGCAAAGTTGTTATCTCTGTTTATGTTAATTGAATTATGTCTGAAGCAAGGTTTAAGTGTGGTGGCACTGCAGTTAAAAATCAAAACTGATTGTGTGTTGCATGGCAATACTGTAAACCACTGCTATTTCCATTTAAAAAAATCCATTTTTCTGTAACAGATTATATTGTTTCTTTGAAGTTTAAGTAGCTGGTGTTTATGATAATATGTACATCATTAATCTTCAGACTTTAATCTCTAAAGTCCTATTTAACACAGTGAAACTTCAATGGGTTTGGATGCCTTATGTTGTTTATTGAGTGTTGGGGTAAAATATAAATGAATGATCTGAGGAATCAAAATTACATCCATAACATTTTCTTTTAATCTGCATAATTTATTTAACGCTAGACATCTTAGAAAGCTACCTGTATCTTTGCCTGATGAACAGTAATACAGACATACTGAAAAGGGTAAACATATTAATTAGAGCCTGCACATCTCTCCTTCTTGCTAGTGTAATCATTAAATTGATTTTTCCAGTCTGACATGTAATTGTTCCAGCGATGGAATTCTGCTTTCCACTCTCGTTCTGCTTCATCAATATTTCCTGTAAAACATGAAATGTGTTACATTAATCTAAATTTGGATCTCTTTATATGCTAATTGAAAAATAATTTTGAATATCAATGCCATTTGCTCCAAACACATTACAGGATGGTCCTCTGACTCTTGTCTTAAACCTGGAATGACTGAAAATTCAGTGATTAACGTTTTATCTTTACATCAGGAAGGACTGCAAAGGTATTCTGGTACACCATAGGGTAATAACTATACTCATGTGTGGACTTGTTGCTTTTGGATAATACTTCTGTCCATCAAATTTATCATTTAAAGCCTTTTTTGTTTTAATCCTAAAAATATTTCTTTGGTTCAGTATAACCAAAATATTCAGTATACAGTGAAACCTAGATACCCCAAAGACTACGAAATGCAAAATGGGATGGGTGACTGTAAAGAAATCACAGCTTTGTTCAAGGCAACAGCAGCATTGCCACTGGTTTGAATGGATGGCCAGGATTTCACCCTACTGAGGAATAAATCTGCAAGTTTAATGCATGCGGGACACACAATTGGAGAAGGATACTGTAAAACGTGCACTATGTCAACATGAAACCATCTTGTCTTGTCTTTTTTCATTCTAGCCTACAAAGTATTTCCTGACTAATCCTGGGTCCCAAGGCAACATTTATTGCCAAATTTGTTAGAGGCATCAGATCACAGGGTGAGGATGAGAAGAGTAATAAAAATAGATCATTTTACAAGGTTCCCAGAGTATTTTACAGCCAGGGATTACTTCCTCCAGTTCCAAAAGGTAATTAAGGCTAGGGGGAAATGCAGTGACCTTGCAGGAACAGCCCATACAACGACTAAGATAACCCATGTAGGCTGCATTGATACTCCAGCTTATTATTTTGGATCAGTTGCAGACTTTTTCTTAAAGTTTAGAAAGCACTTATGATCTATGAATGCCTTTGTTCATTCTGGACCCAATTATCCATGTGTCCCACACTGACACAGTGTGCTTCCAAAAAAAATTGTTAACCGTGTTCGTGATATAACAGTTCCATGGTTTCTTTATGCTCTTTTGACTTTATGTTCTGCTGCAGTAGAGCACAGGCCCTTTCTCTTCATAAATACACCCTTTTCCCCTTTATTTTATGATCTGCCAGCTCTGCAAGTTTAACCGGTTATGTGAAAATGAAATACTTTTGTGTTTTACACATCAGTAGAGAAAATATTCTTGAAAAAGAGTTAACAGATTCAGAGATTTAGTTTGGAGAAGCATCCAGTAATTTGGTTGCTTATCTGCAGTTTAGTTCAACATTTCCAAACGTTTTTGGTCTGGAAATCCAGATGGCAATTTAATGGGACTTTGAAATGAGATTTACATTGCTTCTTGATTTCAGGAATAAAACCAAGATACTTTTTCTTGGGGAGGTTCTGTACTTCTGCTTGCAGTCAAAAGGGGAAATTGTGAAGAACAGATACAGGATGTATGGAAAAAAAGATTTTTAAATTAACCACACTCCTTTTCTTCAATACAGAGATGTAAATAAGCTTTGTTACATTGGAGAGGAAAGAAAAGTTCAAATGTTTTTTAAAAGCTTTCTGCTGGCCACAATCAAACATGATTTGTAAACAATGGTAACAATAAAACCGTGGTTTGTTTACCAGGTTGTGCAGATGTGAGTCCTGGAACTATGGGGAGAAAACATGCACAACATTTGACTTTCCTGACTCTAAGAATTTGCCTTTGCATGTTTCTTAATTGAAAGATGTAGCCAAGGTCTTGGGTAAAGCCAAGTTTTCCACTTACGTTAAATGGATTGGAAGCTTATGAACTGATACTAGTATTATTTAAAGAAAAATGCCTTAACTGTATTTCTTATTTTCTGTTATAAGTTGTTTGGGTTTTTTTTAATTATCCAGGCAAATCCTCCTATTAAAACTCTTTTCCTGCTTTTTTTATTCAAGTGTAGATGTGTTTGAAATCTGCCCAAAAACTTTAGAAACTGGAATATCTCTACTGTACTCTCATCTTCTGTTAAAAGTCACTGTTCTAGTATGAATTATGAGGCATTTCAGTGCTTCTTAATGATCATGGTAAAGAAGTGAGTCAACTAGGGAAAGCAGACAAGGAGAAATTCAGAGTAGCCACCCTTATGAATCTAAAAGATGGAAGGGGGGAAGGAAAACACTGAAATAAGAACTTGGATTCCCATTTGTTTGCTTTTTTCAGTGATAAGATCCAAATTCAAGTCACAAGTCAATGCATTATCACCAACATCATCAATCTCTTTGAAGCAACCACCCATGACTTAGATGAGCTGACAGCTAGCAGAATCGATTAAGAGACATATGAAGTATTTTCCTAATTAAAAAAAAAAAAAAAAAAAAAAAAAAAAAAAAAAAACAGAATTTTACTTGACCAATAATTACAGCTCAGAGCAGCAGGTTACTACAATGCACTGCAGTGCTGGGCAAGTCAGCTAATCATACAGTGAGGTTCTTTTGCTCTGTGCAGTCATTTAGGCAATCCCAAACTTTATAGTAATACCAATTAGCCTGATGGAAAGCCCAGTGAAGTTTACGAGGAGAAAAGGGGAGGTTTCAGTAGGTAATCAATCATACCTGGGTGCTCAGAAAGGTCCCAGGTTAACAGACCAAAAAAAAGTAAAGGGTTTTTTGATACTTTGGCAGTGTCAGTGCTGACAGCTGGCATTTATTTTCTTTCCACACAGGCTTACAACCCTTGCTTTAATGGCATTATAGCACAGTTAGATTTATCTCCATACCATCATTTGTTGAACTGCTGGATGGGCCAATAAAGTGCTAATCTTAAATGTATTTTTGTGGTATTAAGATTGGGACAAAGGCCATGTAGCTGTTATGGTACAGTATAATTAATATAGGATGACAAGTTAGAATTAATTTTTCTGCCCTCAACAGCTCATAAATGCAGGTACCTGCAAACTTCATTAGCATGATAAATGCTTTCAGTTTATCTATGCTGCAGATTCTCATGGTTGTAGTCAATACACAAATCTTTAGAAAGGAGAAAACTCAGTACTGAGAATCTCTCGGTATCTCTATGCAACATTCTTTAATCACACAGTTTGAGTATCAATACTTTTTTAACCACAACAATATCTTGTTTTCATATGTGTTTTTAAGCACTTAAGATTTTTCAAACGATTGTATTTTCTTCTGAAAAAGTCAGTAGAGCTCTTTGGGAGATTAAATATTCTCTCCCCTATGACCTGGGATGCAAGGTACTGGAGTTAAAAAGAAATCGGGTTGTTGAGGTAGATATCTTTTTGCCTCTAGTTGCACTGGTACAATCTTCCTTTGTTGGTAGGTGCTGTAGTGTTGGTGAGGTTACTTTTGACTAGTTGACTTCTTTGCATTTGTATCTAGCTCCCTGGAAACTGAAACCTAATTCTGATGGTGAATTTTCTAATTAGTCACATTTTCAATATTCTTACATTCCTGAGTATTTAGCTCTATAGAATCCAGACACTACTTGGAGGATCACAACAAATACAATTGTTTTGGTTATTCACTCATCAGGAGGTTGAACTTTTCTCTGTCTTCACATTTAAAAGGGTTGTTTTAAAATATAATGTATTTATATTAGCTACTTTTATTTTTGTATGGATGATGTATGATACAGTAATATCAAACAAAATAGAGAAAGATGTGCTATATATATATTAGGTACACTAAAATAGTAATGGAACAATAAATGGAAAACTTGGATCCCTGAAGCTTTCTATAATCAAGAGGAAATGAGCATGTATAAGTAGTTAGGGCTCTAGATGCATTAAAGGTTGTGTTAAGGAGGTAGAGCCTACCATAAATGCTTTTATAATTAACATGTGATTGCTCTAAAAGCTACTTAAGAGTCACTTGCTGTTTACTGTCCCTCTGGTATGTTTCTTTATAGAAGCAGTCATCTAAAAAAGTTCTGGTGTTTGTCCCAGCTTGTCTTGGGGTGAGTGGCAGGGGGGGCATTTTCTGTGCCTTTCCAGTAGGGGTGAAATCAGCCCTGAATTTGTCTAGTTGGAACTGAGAGCCCATGTGAGACACCTCTAGGTCCAGTTTACCTGCCTAGTGATTATAATCAAACTAGACAGAAAACTCCATGTTTTGACTCACGTCTTCAATTATATTTTTTATCTATTGAAATTGAAGACATCAAGAGATCTTCCCAAATCACACAAACTAGTGTGCAGATAGGAAGGCCAGTATTTCTTACATGTCTGTTACTCTTGTGTTACTGTGTGAAGCTTTTTTTTGGTCGTTTTCTCAATCCATAACCACAGCAGGTTTTTTTTTGGAACACATCTGACTTGGTTTGCTTGAGGAAAAGAGCTAACCATAAAGATGGCAGGGACTAAATATTTTCTTCCCTTGTATATTTAACTGCCTCAAGGAACCTGTCTTATCCAACCTGTCACAGGAACAGGCTTGCTCAGATGCTCAGCACATTTGGAGCAAACCATTACGTGCCAAGAAGAACTCAAGGGACTGAGTAGCAAGGCTTGTGCCAGGAGGGGATCAGTAAATAAACAAATGGTCCATTACCAAGTGCTTCAATGTCAAGTTCTGACCACTTGGCACAATGAGAAATCCCCTTGCAATTTCTGCAAAATAAGTTGCTTTGATTGTCCTCTTCAGCTTCTAACTGATGTTACTCCACTTTGTCAGTCTGAACCTTACTTGACCTACAACTTGCAATAATGATAACACAAAATTTCCCTACTCCTTGTTCTCTGTCATCTTATATCACATCATATGAAAGCTAGCTTATATTTCTAAGAATATTTTAATGGAAGAAGCAATAGAAGAGATAGACCCTCAGAAAAGGAGGAAATAAGTGTATTTATGGCAGGCATTGGGCATAATGGGAGATAGGAATGCAAAGTGGGAGTAATAATTCACTGAAGAGAATTATTACAATACCAAGTGTTATATCATGTTTGTAAGCAGAATCTGAAAGGTTTCTTTGTCAGAATTGTGTAAGATTGTTTAGGAAATATGACTATAAATCCCTAGTGTTTCTGTTACACTGTTTCAAGGACTGGTAGAAGTAGGTACATGACAAAGCACCATGGCTTCTTGACAATATTCTTGTCTCGTTTATTTATTAGGATCCAGGCACAATGATTCTTTTGCTAAGAATGTGCTCAGGAATTTCTTTTAATTAAATTATGTAAATGTATGTTGTAAATTACCAAATGTGGCAAAATGATGTATTTATGTCTCCAGGCTGATCCAGAGTGTTGCTTTGTCATCCCTCACACTGCGGGACCGTGCAAAGTGTCTCTGCTGTCCTGCCAGCATGCACTGAGCCATGTCTGGTGATGTGCTCCCTTCTGCTTCTCCACAGAGCACTTGGTCACTCAAATCCCATCCATAAGATTCACATTACTCAATAGAGGTTCACAGGCAGGTTAAAGAAATATGTAAAATAGTTCAGTTCTCCTGGCTCAGCATAAAGAGCTTGTCAGAATTTGAGAAAACTCCTTCAGATCCATCCCCGGTTTGGTACCCTGTGATTTTAAAATCAGAGGATACTTTATAAATTATTCATTTTACCTACTGACTCTGCTTCTCTTGATTTAGTTGAAAAACATCTGTTGAGCTGAGAGGGGATAGAAGTTGAGCCATAATACACTTATAGGCTCAAATGAGAAAGAAATAAGTTATTTCAGAAAGAATCATCTGTGCAACATGAGTTTCCATATTTTTAAGACTAACATTCAAACTGAATCTTAGAGAAAGCTTGTAAAATATTAATTAACATTTAAAAGGTATCTTGTTTTTGAAATGAGAGAATTTTATTTTTTTTTGTCCTCCTAGTAGAACTGCAGAATGTAATTCCAGAGCTGCAAAATCACTTTATAAAACCAACTCCTTTCAAAGTTCAGAAGCACAGAGGCTTGGGCTGTTTGGTGGGCTTTGTAAAAGCAGTGGCATCTCAAGAAAAAACCTGAGCCCTGTGTTCAACTGTGCTTAAAGTTTCAAATATTCTATCGTATTATTCTGGGTTGTGAAATCTCATAAACATTGTATATTCAGTCAGGCACAAATTGCTTCTATTTTGCATAAGCAAATCTTGAAGTCTCTTGGTTGTCATCAATGGCTGACACTCTGGAAATAAACCACAAGACGTCTTGACTCTGAGATGGAGAAGAGTCCTCTTTTGGCAGGACACACCTGTCCTCTGTGGATTAGCTGCATAATAATATAATCCCATAAATAGTGGATAATATAATCCAAATATAACACCACACAACATTCCTTAGATACTTGAAGTTTATACAGAACATCTAAAACCTCCAGAAATCTCAGCACCAGCTCCCACTTCAGCAAAGTCTTTCCTGCTCTCCAGAACAGGCATCGCTGACCCTGACAATCAGTAGCCTCAGAACAGTGATTTGCAGCAACATCCAAGAGTCTCTCATTGTGGCTGCATCTGCACTTTGGGGCAGAGAAGCTCCACACTGCCTTGGTCTTCTGCCCCCACATTTTGTCCTAGCTCATGAAAAGGTGGGAAACCCGTGGCCAGAAGCTCAGGGCACATTGCAGGCACCATCCCCACCACAGCATGGAGAGCTTGGTCCGACATCTGTGCATCTCATGGAAATTCAGTTACAAATAGGAATGTAAAGATTTAAACTCAAGTATGACGTTAATATCAAGCAAACGATCCTCGTATAAAAAGTCAAATAAAAAGCATCTAGAAAGGCATTTTTACCTGTCATTTGCAGGACTTTGGGGAAGAAAATATTCCAGAATCTACATTGCTGAGCACGTAATTTTGCCAGTATCTCTGAAGTGCCGGTATTTAGTGTCAAATATTTTTGTTCAGTACTGGTGAAGACTGGCCATTGCTTTCCATCAGCCAGGGTCGCATTTGGGATTCTAAAGGAGAAAAGAAATATTTTGGAATGAGCAATTACCTCAGCACATCGGTTAAAGTATTATTTCTTTCATATTTAAAAGTTATTTCAGGTTAAGCACACCAGTTTGGAATTAGTGAAGTATACTTTTGCAATCAAAAAAGGGAGAAAAATAAGGCATATTTCATTTCACTTAATTTTTAAAAGATTAATTATTTATATGCCTTTTTTGGGGGTGTTCTGGGTTCACCTAAGGGAATAAAACATAATAAATGACCATACACAAACTACACTTGTTGAATTTGGAGACTCTCACAGAAGCTGTAAATTATTATGCAGAACTTAAAACCAAATAAAACAGTTTGGGAGGCTGAGTAGTTTGTTTTAGTTTGAATGTTGCTGATGCCTTTGGATAGGCAAATAGATTGAATCATAGAATGCCAGGTTGGAAGGGACCTCAAGGATCATCTGGTCCAACCTTTTTTTGGCACTGCTATGGTTTCTATGAGATGGCTCAGCATCCTGTCAAGCTGAGACTTAAAACTGTCCAATGTGAGGGAATCTGCCACTTCCCTCAGGAGACTATTCCAGTGTTTGACTGTCCTCATGGTAAATAATTTGCCTCCTGTGTCCAATTGGAGTGTCCCCAGGAGCAACTTGTGCCCATGACCCCTTGTCTTTCCCATGTGACTCCTAAATAGCCCAGTTAAAAATGCAAGTAAAGGTAATAATAATGTCTAAATGTTGGATGAGAGCTCTACTGGGAGAGAAAATAATTATTCCTCATTAAGAAGGAACCCTTCCTCCTTGGAGTATGTTGAGCCCCCTCACTGGGGTGCCAAACACAAGCAATCAAATATTTGGAAGCTGGGAAGAGGGGCAGAGTGTGTGGCCCTCTATAAAACAGGCTCTGCATGTTTAAAGCATCACAGCTGTTAGTATTTAAAGAGTTGTGATAAATATTTATAATGCAACAGAATTTATAAAGTTCTAGGGACAGACATCCAGTTTTTCCTCTCCAAAAAGAATAATGTGCAGTGTCCCTATGACTAGAGAAAAATTAATTGTTTTAATTATGTAGAAAAAGACCAAAATGGTGAGCATTACATATGGAAAACATGAGACAATGATTTTCAGGAAAAAAAGTGTTTGTGTTTAGATTATGAGTCTGTGGTGGCTCAGAAGAGGTTAAGAATACAAATATTGGTGTGTAAGCAGGTCTCCTTCTCCAGAAGTGAATATTAAGGAACTTAGGTTCAGAGCAGAATAACAGTATTTAATGATTCTTGGTGGTATAAATGAACTAAATTAGCTAAGTTAATTTGATTATTTCTGTTTTTCACCCAAGCTCTTCCCAGAAGCTGTGGTCAGAGAGGAGTCCAGATGAGTGGAGCCCGCTTGAGTTCTGCTTGCCAGTACGAGGTACTGGGTGTAGGTGGGGGCAGGAACCATGAGATTCAGCTGCTGATATAATATCAATAAGCTCTTAGTTCAGTCCAAATGAATCAAGTTTTTGGCCATGTTTTAGTATTGTGCTTTACTCTGGTGCCTTTAGCACCAGGCATTGGCTGTTCACAGAAACATAATGTTCTAGTAAGAAATCCAGCATGCCATTTCCTGAATTGTTCACTTCTTTACCAATTTGTCTTTACTAATTCAGCTCTGGTTAACCTATGGAACCCTTTTTAACTGCACATTTATTTGTGGCTCATGAGAGTGATGACTTAAGCAGAGCTGACTTGCACTTCAGTTCAAGATCAGGATGCTAATGGTGCTGCCAGTATCCATTTAACAGCTTTTATGCTATGTGATAAATCATGACATTTCACATTATAATTTACAGGTGGGGTGAGGGGGGAATTAAACAATGCCTACAGTTGTATTTTATTGAAAATTATTGAAAGAACAGTCAGATGAACACAGCATTTTGAAATAGGGGAACCTGCTGATAAGGGCATTCTCTCTGCATTTCCAATAAGCTCACTGTTCAAAGAAATGTCTAGTAATATGCTTCTTAGTTCCAGCATTGAAAATTTCCCAAGTTAAAAAGTAGCTCCCAGTTACAGCAGACCAGGGACATCACAGGAGTATAATTCTTAACTGGTAAAGAACAAGTTATGAACATGACCTTGTTATTCTATCACAATTACTTTTCATTTATTCATGCTGATAACTTCATTATGAGAATTACAGTGCCCAGAATAAGCTATAAAATTCCCTGGTCTTTGTACCAAACTCAAAATTTAATCATTTTCATATAGAAAATGAAAAGTATTGTGAGAAGATCCCAATGCACAGAAAGAAATCCAATACACTGCACAAGTTGTCTCCAGCCATTTATGTTTTGATAAACAGTCTTTGCTGATACATTGAGCAAAGCTCAGATCTTCCATGGAAATCTCCATCCTGTTATCTTTATCCATTTCTTAAACCTCTGCTCTTTCATCTGGTACTACTCACATCTTCTTCAGTGTGTTCCAGTTCTGCCCACCTCAGTGCTGTTAATGGGACCTGAAGGTGTGTCCTAAAGGGGCTTCAGAATGAACCTTTGCCTTCTCTATCTACCTCGCCAAGCACGAGTCACCTTTCTTAGAACTCTGTCCATATCTATAAGCTCTAGTCAGGGAAGACCTTAATTTTGTTTAGAGTAGATGAGATTTTCTTCACTGAATGTTTTAGAAAGAAACTAGCTGCTTTCTGAGACACTCTTTAATGTTTGCAGGAGCAAGTCTATGGCAATTAAGAAATATTTTTTAATTGCTTCCAGGGAAGAAATGCAAGAGAGGGAAAAAAACCCACAACAAGAAACCAAAAACCAAACCACTTGTGTTTGATCTTTGGTATAAACAGAATTTGTTTCATTATTTCAGCTATTTTGTTTTTCTTTGCAGATGTCCTGAAGTTTCCTTTGCTTGTGCCCTCTCTGCTCTGTGATAGTGGCACTGCAGCCCATTTATAGTTAATTATTTCATTAAGATATGTCTTTAAGGCAGCCAAACTTATTTGCTCATTAATTTTGAGCTCAATCGCTAATAAAGCTGCTCTCAGGTTCTACCTTTTTGTGCTCTCAGCACAGTTCATGAGTCTTTTAAAATCTCATCCTCAGTGTCAGTTGCTTGGTACTACTCAGTTACCCAGATCAGGTTTTTTCCCCTTTAGGTATTTTATGTCCATAGCTGCCAATAACATTTAATTCTCAAGAATCATTTATAATAAACACTTTAGATTTGACATAGGAACGGAAGAGGATTTTAAAGGAGCTTATTCACTGATAATTTCTGTATACTTCATGTTAATGTTCAACAACTTGAGAGAGTTAATTTGGTTCAGATGGAAAATGCAACAACCTGCACACGGTTCTGTTAATCATAAAACATGCATATATTACCATTCTCATTAATATGATCAACATAGCCTGAAATACAATGCTAGCTCACTGCAGATTTATTATTTGTTACATGGCATTACTTTTACATGGTTGGTTTATCAAACACAGGAATAGAAAAATTGAATTAATTCCCTATCTCATTTTCTTTGTTTTTTATAGGTATTCATGATATAAAGTACATGTAAAATATTCACTTGATGTTTGTGAGTGAGCTCCAAGTATTTTTCACTCTGCTGTGGTACCACCATTGAAAAGAGAGGTTCTTTTGTAATGTTAAGCTCTATTTTGATGTAGTCCAGAAAGAAAAAATTCTCTGATATTGAAAATGGTTTAAGGCATCATTTAGCTTCCTAATGAGTGTTGTAAACACTAACTGTACCACACACCAGCTTAGATTCTCCCTGTATTTCTATTTAGCTGCTCTCTTTGAAAATGGATCAGGTTAACATGTCATGTGTTTCTCTAGAGGAAAAGAAAACCAAACCCCACATCATTTTAGCTGTTTAACACAGCTGAATTATACCAGACCACACTCACTAAGACATTCAGAGGCTGAAACACAATTTTACCTCCAGTCCTCAGCAGCCTTTTCCTCCAGACAGCCTTCCTGGATCACCCCAGACAGATGAATAATTGTTCTGCCTGGCTGAAGCTGTTCCTAGAAATATTGCTCCCTGAGAGGAAGCCCACACTGATTCCACCTGAGCAGTGCTTTATTGCTCTTAATTGTTCCCTCTGACCCACTCTGAGCAGGCAGGGCTCAGCAAGCCCGTTTGCCTGCAGGTCTCTCTGTAAAGGTTTTCCCATCCCTCCCCATCATGTGGAGCAGGGGGAATGTGGCATCTCCTGCCTCCCTCTTCTCCCATCAGGGGACCAGCAGCTCCACCAGTCACAAACACTGAGTGAGGCAATTTCTTCCACGGAGCTTTCTGCAGGTTATGGCCAGCCTGGCCTTCTGCTGGCATGTGTCTCATTAGCTGAACAGGTTGCCCACTGAGATTAATGAAAAGTTACAATAATGCTGCACTTCCCTGGGCAGCAGGCATTGAATTCAAAGGGAAACCTGTTCTTCTGAGGTGAGTCTTTATGGACTTCACCTGGGCTGGAACTGCTGAAGCTCATTTTCAATTTGGCCCCTTTCTTTTTCTTTAAACTGCTGGTGGAAAGGCAGGAGGGAGTAAATGTGAATATTTTTGTATTAGCTTTCATGATTCCTTGTAGCTATCGGGCAGTGCTGGCAATCAGCTTCTTTTCATGGGGTGGCATTTTCCACTGTGTTACCATGGGCACAAGATACCAGAGAGGGGAAACAGCCTTAGAGTGAATTCCACACAAGAATCCCCTCCCTGGCACATTTTCTACCGTTGCATTTCAAAGCCTTTAAGAATTATGGAAGTAGTCAGCTTGGTGTCAAACAAGCATACTGTAAATGTTTCAGCCCAGGGGTAGCTCTGGGAATGAGGGACTGTTCTGCATATGTCTATACTGCAATCAAGAGGAGCTGCAGAAGCTTGTGCAATTGTACCTGAGGCTTCCACCCCTGCCAGGTATAAAACCTGACAGGAGTGAATGTCATTAATAATGTCTTTGTGCTTGGAGATGACAGATATATAGAATCATAGAAAGGCTTGGGT